ATAAAGAAAATACAATGGTATTTTATTTTTCAAAGGCTATCGTCTGTCTCATATTGCTGCACTAAGTGATCAAACAACTAATGGAATATGATAAGTCCTTATTTGTTTTTTTTTTGTCTGTAGCACTCAAATCTCATCAATCTATAAACAAATAAAGTAAAAAAATAGGCTAATTCCAACAAAAACGCGGTCGTAATTTACGTGAAGTAGGTTCTGAGTAAATCTAGTTGTCCGCAGTTAAAGACGGTTAGGCTGGTTTCAAGTGATCTGCCTTCTAATACCCTCTTTCAAAGTAATTAGGCATTTGCAGATATTATACGAGGCGAAGTTTTCTCTCAGGATGCAGCAACTGAGAATAATTGGGGTGGCCCTCGTGGGTTTGAGCCGCAACCGTTCCACCCCAATAAAGGCCTCTAAAAAACTTACCCTTCAACTACAAAAACGAGTCAATTTTTTTAAGCAATGGTGATACTTTTAGCTTTATGACCTAGGAGCTGGTTGTCCAGGAATGAAAATAAAATGTTTGGAAGGCATTTTTAGAACAACAATAGTTTTATTGAGTGGCTTTGGCCAGGTCCATTCTAAGTCTAACCTTCTTATAGACAAAGTTAATAAAATCCTTGGAAATTAGTCAGTTCGAGTTTTCTTCGGCAAGAGTACAAAATAACTAAGTTTATGAAGCTCATACTCAAAATTTGGAGACTATAAATACCATGCAAAAAGAAAGCCTTAGACATTTGACTCAATGGATGGAAAATTAATGGATATAATAGCGCGTTTCCATTTAGAATGAAAACATTTCTCATTACAAAAGACAAATGTTTATTCAAATTCCATCCAAAACATTGAAAGTAATTTTTTACATAAGATATGGCCAACATTAGAGATCGGAATGGCATTTTCCGTCTGACTGGATACTCTGACGCAGCCCCAGGTATTTGAACTCCGTTTGGATGTTTATTACCCTTAAAATATACCAGCATTTAATCATTGCACCATGGTTTATTATCATTATGACTTAGTACGGTAGCAAACCGCAAAAGCCTCCCTCCTCTTTGCCACTATTAATAATTGCATCACAACTGCCTACGAGAACTTCATCTCAATTTCCATGGCACAGATGGACGAGTACATTTTGTGACTTGATTCGTATGCCTCCCTTCATCATATGGAAGTTTCAAAATATCTGTCAATTGCGTATGTCAGAGTATTTGGTACTATTAAAAGATACCTGAAACCTCTCAACTCTCAGCCACTTTTTCAGTTTGGTTAACACATCAAAAATATTTAAAATTTAGTTTGTCCAACAGAAAGTGCCAGGGCTTAAAAAACTTCAAAGATATGTGTGTGGGAGGGAAATAATAAATGCTGGAGGCAGATTTGTTTACAGTACGGGCTGGGGGGTATGTAAGCCTACTCCTTAACAGTGTAGTATCAGGCTGATAATCTGACCCAATTTCCTTATATGCCACATCACAGTAGCTTAAGTGGTGAAATATTAAGGTTCTTTACGTAGAACTAGTTTGCTGCTCCCCACTAACGCGTTGAGCATCTCCTTGCGTTCCCGATAAACATCTTTGCGTAGGCTGGAAGACGGATTTAACCTTGCACTGTTTTGTGGCATTTTCGCTTGCAAAATCCAGCCGTAAGCGTTAATCTGAATGAAATTTTTGTACCTCCTCGGGGTTTCATAATTATATATGGTATTTTGCGTTCAACTAATAAATCCTCCGATTTCGATTGCTACTGTATTCCCCGGCTGTTAAAACTGAAGTCATATTTGCTGCCAGATATTGATATAAAATATGATGGTATTTTTTGTGATGTTTCCCAAATTCACATACCAACAAAAAACGTGCCCCTTCGATTTGTTTAAATACACTCGGGCAGAAAAGTGATCTATTTTTGTCATAGTTCTCCTCCACTGGAAATTTAAATTCATTTTTTCTGCAATTTTGTGTCCAAGGCAGAACGTAACAAGTGGGTGTCAAGGAGTGTCAATATCTGTCGATCTAAGCCGGCAAAACAACGAACCTGTGGCTCAACGGTTAGAGAATTTAATATCTGATCAAAAATTTGCGGATTCCAGTCTTGGGTGGGGCAAAACTAAGGTTTGGGTATGACTCGGTGATGATGGCTAATGAGCCAGAAATGGGCATTTCAGTCTCACTTGCCTCCACGGGCAATGCTTTCAGTCCGTTTAGTGTTTAGGTCACTGTGAGGCTGACAGTAAAAGAAGTGGGTCACCTGCCCTTACAGCTTGATTAGTGGCAACAGTAGTTAAAGTAGTGCACCTTATATACCCGCAGTTCCAGTATTTTGTCCCATGGAAACAGTGGTTATAGGGGTTTAATGGGTGAGGAATTGGAATGGGTAGCGGAATTTACTTTAATAACTGCTGTATGCGTTCCATTTTATCGTATTTAGAAATTTTGTTTTATATCTGTAGATTTTCAAAATCTGTGTTATTGGTTACAGTATTGTGGAAAAACCAGATTATAAGAAGAGAGGTTTCTTGAAATTCCTGAAAAGATAGAAATGGTGCTTAGGAAGTCATCTACTTCAACTTACCTGGGATCCAATTTACCGTTCTGAAGTTAGATTAGCATAGTCCGCGGTGCAAAGCGTCGCACACACCTTCAATCTACATATAGAACAACTTAATACCAGCGGACGCAGGAAACATGCTTAACTACATTTTTCCACTTTTCACTTGCTTCTACGAATTTCCATCACTGCCTATCCTAATTTCCCACCCAAAAAATCCCTATAACCACCGTTTCCGTAAGATAAAATACTGGGACTAGGGGTATATGAGGTGCACTACTTAAACTTTCTTTGCCGATTGGCTAACTTGATATACCCAACGATATTTTGACAGAAAAATATCGTTAGTCAAATCCACTCATGCTAGTGGTAATCGGTTGTTTAGAAGGGCCTCAGAACGTTCAGATTTGACGCGTGAAATATTAGTAGCAATGCAGGAAAAATCAATTTCTGAGCTCAACAATTTCAAAGTATTTTCGAATTAACGCACTTACCGGCTATCCAATTTAAATTTCTTTTATCTGAAACTTTTTAATTTTATATGGAATAACATCTTAAAACGATCTTCTACTAAGAAGCACCAATATTTATTCGGATAAACTTACTGATATCCTTTTCAAGACAGTCCCGTAGAGCCTGAATGCGTAAGCGTCCCCCGGCTCTCCGGAAAATTCCCGGAGCCATGTGTCCGACCTGTTGAAGGTGTTCCAACATATTACTAACACAGGGCGGGAACGGATAGCCGACTCGGCGTGTCCATGCACTTAGCGATTGGCCAAAGACGGAACCAGCAAAAGATCGGTTAGTGCAAAAATGTCTAGTCGGCGGAGGGGCTGGGCTGGAAGAATGGTTGGACTGATTTAACTCCCTGCTATGTTCGGGCGAGGACAAAGAGCGGGCAACCGGAG